TCTCTCTCTCTCTCTCTCTCTCTCTTTCTCTCTCTCTCTCTCTCTCTCTTTCTCTCTCTCGCTCACCTGGCTTTTAGCACTAATCTTTCTAATATATGGATTCCATCGACAGCTTGTAGAGGCCCTATTTCAAGCGCATGAGCGCAAGGCTGACCTCATGGCAGAGCTGGAAGAAAGCATCGCCAACTACTACTGCCCCGGCCACCATCACATGGTATGCCTTGTTTGTTCATATGCTCCTCATTGTTTCGTTTGGTTTGTTTGTTCGATTTTTTGTTCGTTTTCTATAAGCCTTGAAGAAAACAATTGGGAGGGAGGGAGCTGAGAACAGACTAATGTGGGAGCTTTGGCATGCCTCACTCCTTTCTTCTTACACCTGGGCTTCTATAGCGGATTGTCAATGAGCCATATTCCACGTTTCGCGAGCAGTTGTCATGGTGCTGCGATCTTTGTGGGTGCTCGGGCCGCGGCTTGGTTGCGCATTGCGAGCCTTGCCAACACGATGTCTGCCTCAGCTGCTTGGAGCGGGAGGAGGATTTCGAGATCAGCGGCCAAGTTAGCATCCGCCTCAAATCGCAGGCAGAACAACGTCCCGAAGAGCATGAGACCTCAAGCCCAGACCAGACCGCCCTGTTGACCCATTTTCTACCAGCCTTTGAAAGTACCTTTGCTCGTCGCTTGGAGGACCTGAAGCCCCTTGAAGAGGTGCAAATCCCTCTTGACGTTTTCAAGCCAATCACCCGAGCAGACTTGCGACGCGCTTGTGACGCCGCAGGCTTTATCGGTGCCATTCGACTTGAGTGTTGTTTGCGACGCCCTGCTGCACACAACGCCTTGCAAGCCTTGGAGAATCAACTATTTCTGGCTAGCTTAGCCGTTTTTCGAGCCTTGGTATTGCCTTCAAAGCAGCAGGTGGCCGGTTTTCCAAAAGCTTTGGCTGTCTTGCGTGATCTGCAAACCGCCTGCGCACAAGAACTTGGCAGTGTACATCTGCTTACCGAAGCTCTCGTCGCAGGCCTCAGCGCGACAGTATATGCTGCCATTCACGATGTGCAAAGCTTTGACACCCGCGCACAGCTGCAACAACAAGCCCTTCAGGCCCTGACTGGAGACGACGCCCCCGGGCCTGGAGCGCGTGGGGCGCGGGTCCGTCAGCATAGCGAACGTGCTTCGTCCCCCTGGCTCGGTCGTTTGGGCACGTTGCTGGGTGGTGCCTGGAGCGCTCCGCCGGCCAATGAGCCAGAGCCCGACAAGCAGCCAGCGCGTCGGGACACAACGATTAGTCCCATCCCTCCACCGGACTTGAGCGTGTCACCACCAGCACCGGTGTTTTGGGAAACTTCACCGCAACTTGGCAGCGACGACCAAGCCCGCAAGCTATGCTTTGCGCTCACATCCTTGCAACAACCTAGCGACTTAATTGTCCTGCAGGATGGCGAAGCTGGCGCCCGCCTCGAGCTCAAAGGCGTGGAGGACTTCAGCAGCCTAGGCTCACTAGATCTGATTATCAACTGCATTTTCCACCCTGGCAGCTCCCCCGCCCTTGCTTCACCCTTGACCTTGCCGTGGCGCCTGCACCGCTGGGAACCTTTTGTACTCCCGCTGCCCGATGTCAAAGCCTTCTCTGTCACGGTGGGCTCGTCGGAAGCGCTACTCCCCTTGGCGGCCGCAACCGTCTGCGTGACGCTGCTGAACTGCCCATCTGGGTATCACCTGGTTACGCAACAGAGCATTGCCAGCCGGTCGCCTAGCCCCTTGCCTGTGGGCTACGTGAGCCAAGCCTTTGCTATCAAAAGCCATACCTACTCCTTGTTTACACTGCGTCTACAACGCAGCAGCGAGTCAGCTGCAATGACTCAGGCCAGGATTGATGAGATTCGCACCGACGGCCGACAACGCCAATATGATTGTGAAAGCCGCAATGAAACTAGCCTTATCCTGGACCGCGATGCTGTGAGCATCTCGTTCACGAGCTTCACGCGAAGCGAAGCAGAGCTGGAGGGATTTGCCATCACTGTATTACCTATTAGCCTGGAGCCTCTGCCAGCCCTAGCTGAGGAGAGTCGCCACCTGCAAGCACAAACTCCCCTGGCCTTTGCGCTTGTTGCGCTCACAGCGAGTGAGCCTAGGCTTCCGGCCCACGTGGGTGCGCTGCCTTCACCTCTGCTGACTGCTTTGATACCGGGCCAGTGCGAGCACTGCCACAGTGAACACAGCGCCACCCGCGTCATGCTGCTTGAAGTGCTTGCGGGTGCCGCTCACCCAATGCTCCAGCAACTGTACACGTTTGTTTTGACGCGGGGATTGCAAGCTCGGAACTTTCATCACTGTACGACCCGCCTCGCGCTCCGCATGGTGTTTGTGTGCGCGTATGTCCTGGGATTGACCTTGGCCGATATGCAACGTGCATTGAACACGCCTCACTGCCTCGAGCGTCGCCAGTTGATCGCATGCGTTGAGACAGCCTTTGCGCTACAACGCCACCTTGTCACGACTGACCCCAGTCTGGATGCCGTGGATGTGCCGATCGATGCCGAGTCAGAGGTGCCCGCTTCGGTGCCGTCGGCTAGTACCTACGCCGCCATTGTGACAGGCAACAGCTCGGCTTCTGCAAACGACGTACAACTGTCGTCTGATTCTCGAAATGCATCAACTCAAGCCAAATTTGCCTCGGCCCAGGCTGAGCCTAAGACACTGGCTGACACCACCCAGCTGCTGCGGGCCATCGTTCAGACCTACTGCCCTTGTCACAACTCTGAGGAGGACAACGAAGACATACACGAAGGAGTGAATGACGCAGTGCCCCAAGCCTCCGCGAGCGTGAACAGAGATGACAACTCGAACGGCTCCTCAAATGGCCGTCCTCCTCCCCTCTTGACTCCAGGCTTTTCTCACATGGAAGCTCGATCTCACAGCGTTCATGGTGATGCTTCGGGAAGCGCAGCTCGTGCTGCCGCCTCCGCTGCCGCCGCCACCGCATCATCGGTGAATCAAAACTTCGATTTGCAGCTCGAAAGTTGCAAAGTCCGGGGAGCAGATACACAAGGCAATGGCAATGCATCAATGCCGGCATCTCCCCGCCGATCCCGAGCTGCACCGCGCGGCCTGGCACCGCCTCGTACATCTTCAACCGTGCTCCCCCGTCAGGAAACCACAGAGTGTCCAGAACGCCCGCCATTGCAGCGCTCGCTGACAGCACCATCCGCTCCGCTCACGGACAAAGCTTGGCGTCGTGTGTTAAAAGGAAAAGGATCACGTGCGCTTGGCCGGCAGTTTGCAGCCACTTACCGTCAACAAGAGGTGTTAACTGCCCTGCTGGAGGCTTGCAAAGGTCGTCTGTCTGGACCTGAGCTTCAAGCACAGCTGGCAGCCCATCGTGCCGCAGTTGTCGACGCTTCGGAACGCATGTCCTTTTTATATACCATGCAAAATGTACTGCACCCAGCACTCTTTCACACGAGCCACCGTGCCGTGTTGGCGATTGAGCAAGCTGAACGCAGCGTGGCTTCAGCATCTCAAGAGGCCATCAGCCCGAGCGGCGCTGCTCTGCCCGACGCAAGCGATGCAGCCATCGTAATGGAGCTGATTAGAGTGGAGATTCAAAATCTGCGCTCCCTAGTTCTTGTGCATGGCAGTGGCACCGTCACCCCTGCCCTCATCGACTACGTCGCCGCTCGCTTAGTAACGATTGGCGCGTGGCTTCGGCGCGTGGACCACCCGCGTCAGCTTTGCACCGTCATGCATGCGCTGCAAGCCCTGCAGACGAAACTTGACCCTCTTCGCTTCACGGAGAGACCCATTATCTTGCTGCGCCGCTGCGTCTTGATTGTGCTTTTGCGCTGTCTGGGTCGTGATAGTGCTGGTACGGGCGGCGAAGTAGTGACCATTGAGTCTCATCGACAAGTTCTTCAAGCTGCGCTAGAAACCCTTGCTGCCCCCGCCCCTCGCACATTTGTGATTGAGGCACTTGTGGCCATTCTGCTTTGTTTGGGTACACCCGCGCGTGGCGCGAACACGGCCGTGGCGCAAGTACTCCGCACGGTTGGACCCAGTCTTTTGGCAAACACAGCGCCGCTTGTTCAGGTGCTAGGCGTACACCTCCTCAATGCTGTGCATGATAGCTCGGGGGCTTGCCTCGACATCTTGTTGGATTACGCTCTTCGACCGTACGTGCTTGTTGGTGTGCCCAATGCACAGGCGCATGCAGCTCAGCTAGCATGTTTGCAAATTCGCCGACGCTTAAGTACTCATGAACACGCTCTCAAGCTCCTGGAACCACGCTTGTTGAGCTGCTTGAGTGAGCTGGAGGCAGTTCAAGCCGCAAATAGCAGCAAGGCAACCCCAAGCACAAACAACTCATCTGACCTAGTCTCGCCCCAGCTACAGCCGACCTTTGTCGGGCATCCTCTTTTGCAACTTGACGCTGGTGTCACCCGCCTTCAAGGTGTATGCAGTTATGGCTCAGCAGAGCGTCAGCTGCAGTGGATTCACTTGACGCTGGGGCCCTGCGCAAGCAATGGCCTCATGACTGCCAGCTGGTCGAGCATGGGCACATTGCCCCTCCCGAACGAGCTTTCGGCCATTACCACAGCGGTCGCAGTCGGCGGCGAAACCCTTTACTTTTACGACGCTCAATGGACTCGACCTACTTTGGCTCTGCGACAAGGTGGTGTTGAAC